AAAGACGGTTCAGCGCAAAGAACCCGCACGCGTGTGTGCGCGAGCGGACACCCGTGGCGGCACGCGTAATAATTACGTAACCGCGCGCGCGCCAAAAGAGTTAATAAAACGTGGGTGGCGCATCCTTGGGATTGTGTTTTGTTTTGTGTATCCGTGTATAATTATATTTAGATAATGAGCAGGACAACATGAGGCATGTTTTTAAGAACTATGCATCCAAGAGCAAAGCCATTCTTTCACCAGCCAATCCTGCGAATTAAAAAAAAAGCCATATAGGGATGGTATAAAAAGAAAGGGAGACGAGATAGGGATGGGATACATGAAGCATGGTTAATGAACAGATTTTAGCATGCTGACACCTCTGACCCCATCACATAATCCCTATATTGTTGCCTGGTGTGCCACTCGTAAACTCCATTTGTACTCTTGGTTACTCAGTAGCATGACTTTTTGTATTTTCAAGCTGTAAGTCCTGACTATTGAATGTTTACCTAGGCAACAATATGCGATGGGGTCAGGGGTGCCAGCGTACTCAAATCTGTTAACCATGCTCTTTTTTTAATTCGCAGGATTTTTTATTTACTTGTATACAGTAGTAGCGGTGCTTATCCCTCAAACAGCATTGCTGGAAGCTTCAGTTAAACCAAAGAACTGCATATGTCCTGGGGAAAGCTATGGCTGTGAAGTAACATTCGCGAGAAAGATAGCCTGGAAAAAAATTTTACGAAAATTATGGACTCTTTGCCGAGTACTCTCTTTTAGATGCGGATGATGAAGAAATTCAAGAAACTGATAATTTCCATGTGACTTTTATGGGCTCAATAGCAACTGATGATCTGGACAAGTACACCTCTACTCTTCTTGTAACAAACGTGCCTGCAAATGGAACTATACTCACCTGTAGAGGCTCAATTCATTATAGAATACAAAATAGAACCAAAGTACGTAATGACTCTACAAAGATATGTCTTGTAGGTAAATCCATTCCTGTCAGGAGGAGGATTATGTGTTATACACAGTTCATTGTGTGCAGGTCCAGCTTCATCTCCCACTAGTCTGTCAGTGGTGTGGGACTCACAATCAGCTGTGGTCAGTTTCCAGTCTCCAGTGTATGGTGGAGTATGTGTGGACTATTATGTGGTAACTGCTGCCAGTGAAGAGAGGAATGTACTGTGTAATGTCAGTGATGCTAGTGAAAGAAACTGTAGTATTTATCTCGGAGATGGCAATGTCAATGACTATAATTTCACTGTCCATGGTTTGACTCGTGTCAATGATAGTTTTGTCTACAATGGACCACTGACTGCCGTAAGCATCTGAGTAAAAAAGTTGTTTGACTAAAGACAACATTATATTTTACAGGTCTGCCATTTCCAGAGCATGTAGGAGCTGTTGAAGAGGAATGTGGTCATGTCAATGTCACCTGGAAGGTTAGTGAATGTGAAAGAAGAGAGGCACATAAATTACATCGACACTTTCCAGAGCAATCACGTCATAGAACCAGTGAACACAACCATCAGTTGGCGTGGGGTCCACAGCAGTGGAGCCAGGCACTATGAGAGAGGTAGTTCTGAAGACTCTCATCTACTAACATTAGACTACTCTGAGACTGGACCAGTGGAAATTGCTGTGACATTCTCTAGTGCTGTCTGTAACAAAACCACTACCATTACACGTAAGACTTAGTATGTTACAAAGTGTTAATAATGACCCCACTCTATAATAATATATATACTAGTTAACGCCAAAAGATGTCTGACTTCAAGTGAAACACCTCCAACCCCAACCCCTGGTTAGTCTAAGTCATAGAGTGACAGAGTGTGATGTGAGATGGTGTGTATAATAATAGGTGATGTAGGTGTGACTGAGGCTGCGGCTGTTAAACCGACTGCAAATTCCTAGCAATCGGAGTAGGAGTTGGTGCTGGACTCCTGGTGCTGGTGACTACTACAGTGGTTTTGACAGCGTGGTGTGTGAAGAAAAACAGGTCTAAAAGGGGTACGTACAATATTTACATGGACTACAAGCGAGGTGATGTTGGTTCTGTAGTTCCCTCCAGCAGCTGTGGTGATGAACTGAAAATTCTTGGGTGAGTCACTGCACTATCACTGTTTTCATAACATAAAGTTTTTCCTGGATCTCCATTATGTCTCTGCCACCTCACCTCTCTTCCTCCACCAGTTCTCAGACCAGTAAAGGGTGTGGTGATCCACCAGAGACCCCAGCCCCAACAGCACCAGAGACTGAGACTGACAGTACTCGTCCTGATGTCATCCCTCCTCTCTATGATGACCTCAATACCCTCACTAGAAAGGTCAGTGTAGTCTCTTTCTTCTTGGTTGTCACCTAAGACTTATGTCAACGATGTTGTCAATGCAGAAGGAGGAGCCACCATCACTGCCAATGTATCATGTGTTGGAAGGACCTACTCCTGTTGAGTCGGCACCAGAGACACAGGGGACTGAGGTGTGTGTGTGTGTGTGCATGCATATCCATGTATACTACAACCCCATAATTGACCCAAAACTGAAAAACACTTGTCTCTATGCATCCAGTAGATGACAAGTGCATGCGGAATGTGAACTGGCAGGCAATAATACCTTAGCAGTGCTTTAACATGAGGTTTACCATTGTAATTGCACGTTTTCCATCCTTGCTCACTGCCCTGCCACTAGACTCCAGTTCCAGCCACTGATATCCCTCTATATTCTGTTGTGGACAAAAGTAAGAAGAAAAAGAACAGAGCTTCAAAGCCCATCACTGTAAGCTGATGTGCGGGCCACATACTTCCTTCATGCAGACATACTTTAGTGTTACTGTGTTACTCACATCATGTCACTGGTATTCTGTAGGAGGACGAGGAGGAGAGTTCTCACGATCAATGAACCTTAACTAGATGCTAAAAGGGACACTTCTTTTCAATAGCGTGCTGTTGTAGCAGGTCAGCCATAATTACAGGTCAAGGGACACATTTGAACATTAAAGCAGCATAGGCACAGAGAATCTTTATTCTCATTTGTTTCAATAGCCACTTCATTTTTGTGTATCACAAGATTAACCTAACCAAGTGGGGGGTATCTGCTCTGGGAGACTATTTTGGCTTTGTATCCCCATGAGTCTGAGACAGATGCTCCTTGTATGAGTGAGGGTGTCTGTCTATATAGTCTAAGACACCACCAATTTTTAATGCACTGGAGGAATTTAGTTGGATCGCTCCGCTCACCAAAAATGCACTGCATTCACCTGGTACTCTGCATGCATGACAACCTCAGAAAGGAGCTTTAGGGTGTCGTGGTATGAATGAGTACGACCACTTGACATGTTGTGTTCATAAATGCTTGTGTCGTATATAGTAAGTGAACGTATGAGGAACATTTTGTACATGGGTGTGTCCGCTTCACTCTAAGAGTAGGATCATTGACACAGAGTCTTGCTCCAGAGTGGAGCAATAGCAGAGGTGTTTTTGTGGTGTGAGACGTGCAATTGTGGTAAACATACTTACACAAGACAATTTTGATAACACTGCACCTCAACACCTCTCTCTCTCTCTCCATGTTAGGCAGTGTTTGGCTTTCACTGTTATCTTAGTTTTGTCAACAACCTTTGAAAGCAAAAAGCTATGTAGGAAGAGTACGGAAGTGTTCCACAACAATGGATGGGTGAGGACATAGCTGAATGGGGAGGTGTAGAATAACATGGGACCCATATTGAGACTATACAGCAGAATAGGGGGTCAGTTTTGTCCTGGATCACAGCAATCCATGTCACGTCGAGGACAATTTGTACATGTGCCATGCATTAGGAGGACACTGAAGTGGAAAACTTTCACTGTTTATTGTTCATTGATTACTGTCCCCCAGTACCAATCTTTTTCCCGTCAAAAACAGAGGGCTGAAATTTTTCACAATTGCTTTCAAGATGGTGTCCGCAGTCGTGTCACTCACGCTCCCAAAGGTTTCAATGGTACGAGCAGAGCGTGGCCTAGCCGTCAAATTTTCTCTGTGACTATCGTGTGTGCACTGCAATTACATACATCCATTAGTACACACAGTGCATTATGTACACTAACAACTCAGCAAAGTGAGTGTAGCTTCATGTCAGCAAACAAAAAAATGCATAGATCGACATGTGTGTCTAAGATTATGCATTGCTGCAGCATGCACACACAACTTGCTATACCTGCAGAGGCTGACACTGTTGCTGAGACCCTCACATATCTTTGCAAAACTATATACACCTGTAGCTACACAACGATAATGTTCACCTTCAATTCCCAGACTAAAGGGTTGTGCAGTACATTAATGTACCATATACATGTCCTTGTGTTTGTTGTTTATGACTCCCTTGAGGAAATCTTAGTGTATTCAACAGACAACATTAGCAACTGAAACTAGTTTCTGATGTGTGTCATCTGAGGGCATGTTTTCCCAAGGAAACTCTCGGAATAGCACTGAGGTCTCATGCCAACAACATTGTTAGGTTTTGGATCTCAAGAATGTGTAGCACCCATACACTATAATTATGTAGACTGTTTTACTTATTACTCATTACGTAAATCTTACCTTGTCATTCGTACAGAAAGTGTATGTACGTGGAAAATAATTAGATTTGAGACTCAGCCAGAGTCATAACGGAGAGAACGAGCGTGCCCGTGCAAGCTGTGCCACAATGTTGTGATGTATA